GCAGCGATCGCGGCGCTTCAGGGCCGGGCCGACCTTACCGAGGGGATCTTACAGGGCATCGCGGCACGGCTCGACGATGATCACTGGCGCGTCCGAGAGGCAGCGATCAAGGCGCTTCAGGGCCAAGCCGTGTTATCGTTAGACATCCTTAGCCCATATGTCAAATTCTTATACAAGGCTTTGCTGCAGAAAAGCTTCCAGGAACATATATATTGGTACACTTTACATAGTCGTTTTATAGGGGTCGGTCTTAGACATATTTCTTTAGGTGGCGGGCTGCATAGCCGGAAGGAAGTTGTGAAGTTGCTGTTAGAGAAGGGCGCTGTTACCGAAGCAAAGGATGGAGACCAACAACCGCCGCTACATCGAACTACTGGGAGCTGGGAGGAAGCGGTTGTGAAGCTATTACAGCTAAAGACATAAAGCAGCACACTCGTTTCCACGTTCACTTCGGCACTCTTCCCTCTATTTCCCCTCCCCTATATTTCTCATCACTAGCGTGCCACCATAAGGGCCTGGGAGGATGTGTAAATATATACTTGCTTGTGATTCCAGCATCCTTTAGATATATACCCTGACGAAATAACGGTCCACTCCACTTTTACGGTACGCGTGATCTGCACGGGCCGATACCGTCATTCTCATCATCAGGAAAGAATCACTGCTCGGGATGATACAATGGTACGGAGGCGCAGTACGACTGATAGCAATTACATCATTGCTCCATAATTGCCAGGCGCTTGTCACATTGCCCCCTTCAGACAAGGCTATTGAAATACCGTGACGTTATGTTTCCGCATGCAAGTGGTACCTTAGGCTCACTGTCCAGAAGCGTGACGGGGCCAGGAGAGGGTCTTGTCGCCGTGCAAGCTGGAAACCTGAACAGACCTGAGAGTCTTGGCGGACCAGGCTGGTATGTTGGAGGTGTTCGGCACTGAAGGCTCTGCCGAGCTTTATTCTTGGTCTACTCTAAGAGTCTAGACGAAGAAAATCGCCGCCCCGCGACGACCAGTGCTACCAACGATGGTTCGTTTACCAAAACTTACAGCGCCTGAACTTGGCGCTCGCATATCCGATCTTTCCATCGATGCAGACTGTGCCGGCTGCTACTTGCTGCGGAGTCGCAAGACCGTTGGCGCAGAGCCCAAACGAAGTCTCGCTGAAGCAAACAATAGCCCCATTTGCGGAGCATGGCTGGGCACCACCGGACGAACCGGAGCCGAAACCGAAACCGGTACCGAGACCACTCGAAGCGATAGGAGCGGCGCTGGACGCAACAGATGTTGGCTGAGCGCCGCCACCGCCGGCAGCAGCGGTCGTCTTGGTGACGAATCCGGATGACGCAGACGTCGGCTGGGCACTACCCGCAGCAGACGTCTTGGTGACAAATCCGGATGAGGGAGATGTCGCGCTGGGTGCGGGGCAAGCCGAGTCGGGGTCGGCCGTGGTGCTCGGGTTGGGAGGGTTGACCGTCGCGGTCGCGGTTGCTGTCGCAGTCTGGGATTGCTGCGGTGCTGAGACAACGGAGGTGCTGACGGTGCCATTGCCGCCGCCGCTACCGCCACCGCTCTCGAAAGTTGGGATGCCCGACGCCTTGGCACAGGTGCCCTCGCTATCCGCAGCGGGTTGCTCAAGAACCACGCCGTACTTCCCTGGATTGGGGATATTCAGCACGCCGTTGTTGGTGGTGCAAGCTCCGGCGATATTCGCAGTGAACATTGTCGGCAGCTCGTTGAAGAAGGTTTGGTCGTCGGAACCGCCCGTGATGGCCACAGGTGCGCAGTTCATGTACATCTCGCGATTGCCAATCTTGTTGAACCACGTCCAGGCAAAGGTGGCATTGCTGTTGGGAATGTCCTTAGGGACGGGGATCTCAAACTGGCGAATGCACTCGGTGCCGGAATCGTTGCCGCACTGAACCGAGTCGGCGCGCCCGTCCTGGTCGGTGCCGGTCACTGGAAGGTTGCCGGCTGCAGAGACGGGGCATCCGCCGATGATGGTGTAGATAGTTTTCCACTTAGACACGTCGGCCGGGGGCGGGTAGTCGTACGTCAGAGCGAACTGGCAGGATCCGCCGCCATGCTGGGCGCCGCCGGTGAACTTGACGAGCTGTGAGCTGCCGGCTGTGAGTGGGGTTACCGAAACGACTTCGGTCGCGCCTTGGCATGGAAAAGGAAGTTTCGCGCCGAGATGATCGACTTGGAGGAGTTTGGCAGTCCCGCGAAGGTTGTACGGGGTCGGGGTGTTCATGATTAGATCGCCATTGACGGCGCCCAGGAAGGTGGCCAGGGCGGCCCCGATGGACTTTGTGGTCATGGTGTTCATGACGGTCTGGCAGTAAGAGTTGTTGAAGGAGTGTAAAGTTTGGAAAGTGTTGTTGAGACTCCAGGTCAAAAGTGATCATGCTTGTGGAAGGTATTTTGTTTTGATTTTCCGCCAGCGGACTTTGGGTTAAAGAAAGGGTGGTGGATGAGAAGTGGTGCTAAGGAAAGTGGCCAAGGCCTGGGTTGATATACCCTAAGAGTCAACTCTACGGGGTGAATAACCCTATTCAGCTGGGATGTGAAACCAATAACAAGCCGCCGGCGCATTGTAGGCATGCTGGACTGGAATTTTGGACATGGGTTTCGCCGACTTTCTGGGTCTTGTGGAAACGGGGAAACAAACTGCAAGGCTTCCCAAACGCCCTTGATGGCATCTCTCGACAGTGAATGGCGGATCGCCCTTTAAATCTTGAACACTTCTTCTGTATCAGATGAAGAGTGGTTGTTTATACTATGACAACCAAAACCTTATCTTTGTCCGCGGTATGTTTAGTTTAGATGACTGGGGCGGTGATATGGGCCTCGTCAGCGATGCGGAAGCTGGTGTTCTCGAAGATGCTGCCTCCAGAGGCGTGAGATTGAGCACTCTAGCCCAGCTACCTCGCTCTCCGTTATCGCGACACTTGCCAGACGGTTCCCTGTCTTCTCCATTTCTCGATGTCTGTCGTCATCTTGCTCATACTGGACACCATAGAAAGAGGCATAACCGCATTACTAGACACCATAGCAGCCGTGCAAGCCGTTGACCCGCGTTACTGGACACCACAGGAAAACAATGAATCACGTTACTGGACACCATAGGAAAGATGCATACCCGCATTACTGGACACCATAGAAAGCACCTAAACCACGTTACTGGACACCATAGCAGCCGTGCAAGGTGTTACTGGACACCACAGAAAAACAATGAACCACGTTACTGGACACCATAGGAAAGAGGCATACCTGCATTACTGGACACCACAGAAAAACAATGAACCACGTTACTGGTCCGGCGCTGCTTCTTGGTGACTTGTCTGCATGCTCTATAGTACCTGCTTTCATTCTGAGTCGAGAAGACCAGCTCGAGCCCGGATGTTTCGCCAATTCTGTATTCCTTATTACATTGCTCGCGGAATCTCCCCCACTTCCAGGAGCCGCACTCGAATTGTATACGTTCGAAAAAGCACATTGGATGATGCTAATTCCGACGAGAATAAAGATGGTAGAGTCGAACCGCTCTTCCTCAGTTCCTCCTTTTACTGCTGTCAGGGGCGGCGCATTATGCTATTTATAGACCGTGACACGAAGCTGTCTGGGCAGGTTGGTAACGACTGTCACTGGTTAGCGTCCGTATATAGTTCGGATACCAAATTTACCTCTACGACATGTGGGATCTGCAACCTCACTTTGACAACTCCACAGCCCTACGGGGCACCGAGATCCGGGACCCGAGATTAGAAGCTTTCTGATCCCTGCTTCTGTCAAAGCTCCGCCTAAAACCCTAAGCAGGTCAACGGCTTGCACGGCTGCTATAGTGTCCAGTAACGTGGTTCAGGTGCTTTCTATGGTGTCCAGTAATGCGGGTATGCCTCTTTCCTATGGTGTCCAGTAACGTGGTTCATTGTTTTTCTGTGGTGTCCAGTAACACGGGTCAACGGCTTGCACGGCTGCTATGGTGTCTAGTAATGCGGTTATGCCTCTTTCCTACGCTGTAGAGAGCCGTTGAACCGGGTTACTGGACATCATAGACTCAACGGCTTTTAGACGTCCAGTAACGTAGTGGACCGTAGGCTATGGGAACTTGCTTGCCGGTTTGAACCACGTCACCCATAAAAACGCGGCTTAACAGGCTTTTGATAACGCGGTTCAAATGGCAATGCAGAGCTGAAGAAAGGGAACCCTGTAGAGAACAAGGAATTTTGTAGCTAATACAATATACATCCCAGTCTTTATAGTACATATGGTTCGCTGAAAAAGTCATTAACGAGGAAGTCCAAGTCCTCCTTCCTCCATGCCTTTTGAGTCGAGCCTTTCCCGTTTGCAGACGCAGCCGAAGCTTGCCTTTCCTGAAGCAAATCTAGATCGAGAAATCCACCGTTTTCGAACGAACTCTTCTCGGTGGGAATTTGGAAGCGCTCGTTATGCGACGCGGACGAAGACGTCGAATTGGATGGCGACGTTGGATGGCCAATACGGTTTGGGTAAACTCCAGGATTGTAGCGCAAACTCTCCAGGAGCTGCTCGTCTCCGCAAATCGACGTCTCGCCCTTGTACGTCCACACCATAGTCGCTCGGCCCTCCGTAACGGCATTGAGTTCTGTAATTTTTATTTTAAGTGTGCTCAGCCTCTCTTGGAACTTTCTGCGGAGTTTTTGGCTGGGGCTCCTGCGGCGCGACTTGCGAGCCATTGCGGAACATGTATATGACTGATTGCGAATGGTGGTTGTGGGTGATTGGAGAGGTGGTGAACGGTTGGTCGCCTCAATATATAGAAGTCGGCCGAGATCGCCAATTCACTGCTAGCGCCGGTCGGAGGCTGAAATGAGGCGATGCCGGTACCCCACGGAGCGACCGGGAATTACACATCCGGCACTATTAAAAGACCGGACAGAAGGCCGAATTCTTGGACACGCGTCAGGGCCACCCTGTGTCCGGGCTCCGGGGTGAAGGGGGGGAGGGGGTAAAGGACGAGATGAACACTAGTCGGGGGTCTCGGGTTCACTCGTGCACCCTCCGGTGTGTTCCCGATCCTGGAGCCATGCACGCTGGGCAATCAGGTAAAAGAATCCTCTCGCCCAGGTTAGAGCCGTTTTGACGACAGGCTCCCTTATCCGATTCCTTGTAGAAAAGTAACTCGCCGCAATGTTTCGCCACCGCGGAGATCCGCTTGGGCTTCCTCGTCCCCCGACACCATACCCCTTCCAGGCCGATCAGTCCCGGGGAGCAACTGAAAATCTACAGAGCGATCGCCCACCCGCACTCGAAGAACGTCCTCGCCTCTACTATGAGTACGTGCTTAGCCAACATTACCGTGCTAGGCCGTCCGAACTAGTAAAGGTAGAGAAACAGCGGCCCAGCCACTCTCGCACCCGCCTAGCCCAGTGCCGCACAGTCGCCGACGCAAACGTCCGGCGGCAGATCCTCGCACAGAATGCGAGGATTAGCCGACGAACGCCCCCCCTTTGCTACCAAGCCTTTCGCGCTAGCGGCCCTAAGCAGGTCGATCAGCCAAGAGTCCGCTTTCAGCTGCCCGGCCGATATACAGAGATCCACTACCCTGGGGCCGATCTTGTGGAAGTGTTTGAAGGATTGCAGATCGGCGCTCGACGATCAAGATCCCCGCAGTGCAGCTCTTGCGGACGGCAGTTATGGTGCCGCAAATGTGGGGTCGTTGAGTAGACGGATGCTAAATGAGATCGGCTTTTCTTTGCCATTCCTCTTAGCAAGGCTTAACCAGTAGTATCAGACAGTGTACCTAGTAGGGAGTTGCTAGAATGCCCCGAGACCTCTAGTATGAACTTGTCGGATAGAGAGTACCTAAACTATGAACTCCATGACTCCGGATCATTGCAGGGACAGAATGAAAGCTCTTATCCAACTATTCGAATTTGCCAGAGTTTACTCTGCTATGTGAGCCCTCAACTGGAAGGACTTGCCGTAGTACTAGGCTAAGATCCGGGAAATATGGTGCTCTGTTACCTTGATTACGGGGTACATTTTACCGCATTAGTCATATGCCTGTGCAGAAGCCCCAGAGGCCCCTGAAGCGGGATTTTGGGATGCGCCGCACATATAACCCAGCACAACATCCCTGCCGCTGTTCTCAACCGAGTTTCTCTTGCGTCCCGGCTTCCATCTCGGTATCTCTTCAGTTTAGCTGTTCTAGTTCCACTGCTCGCTTCAGAGGTTTCGTTCGACCATCGGGCGGGTCTCGATGCGAATCCGTGCGGTACGTCCACCTCTCGAGCAGGTCTCGAGCATGGGATTACGCGCAGCACGCACTACCATTGAGCTGGTCTCGAGGACGCAAATGCATACTATAGTTGTCATCCTCATCCCAGTGGTCAGCCTCGTGCTTAGCGTGCTGGCTCTCGTTGCTGGCGGGAGCCCCGGACTCATGGAGGACTATCACATTTTCTTGAACACCTCTATGCTGGGCCGGAACCACGATGTCGCCGGCAAGCTTCAGCCGTGGTACTCCCTCCACGCCATGAGCGTCTGCGAAGGCACTTTCACTCCGAGCACAACCACTCAGGGAGCTGGCTTCAACGTAACGAGCTATACACAGCTTCTAAAAAGCTGTAGGTACCTGTCTCCTCAGCCTTCCCACCCAGTAAGGTGATTTGCTGCTAACAATCAACCGCCCTCTTCAATATCTCGGCGCTTCTCGATCACCAGCTAGACGTCGGTCCAGTACGCCTGAACTTGGCCAAGTCTGGCTTCGCCAAGGACCTCCTGGATGAGCTGGACAAGGTCCGGGGCCAGTTTCAAGCTCTGGCGGGCCTCTACATTTCGGCTGTCGCGTTTTCGGGTCTTTCCCTGCTCCTCTGCATCGGCCGGCTCCTCCGACCTACGATTGGCATATCCTCGGCGAACGTCGCCGTTGCCCTGCTCGCGGCCTTTATGCTATTCGTCGGTAACATCATCGTGGCGGTGAGCGGAAAGGCGGTGGACAAAATCAACAATGTCGGTCAGCATGTCGGGCTATCGGTATCTATCCGCCGGAAATTTGTCCCCATTACGTGGACTGCCTTTGTGATGATAGCGGTAATGGCCGCGTACTGGGCCTACCAGTTCCGCCAAGAAATGAAAGGTAAGAGGGTTGTCTCGCGGGCGAGGCAATCGGGCGCCGATCTTTGACGGAGGCTTACGCAAGCGTCACAGCCCGGAATTCTGCCATTAAGTATAATCTCTATCGCCGCAATAGGCATCCTTAATCTGGACTACCGTACGTTTATAGATGTCGATACTGGTGGCGCCACATTTGGTAATTATCGCACGCAGTAGGCGGAAGCGAACGACCGTAACGAATGGCGATGGCGATGATATTCGCGGCGTCGATGGAGGAAAGTCCATCCTACAAGGTGGAGGTGGAAAAGGTGGCTGGCTGAGTCAGCTGTGGAACCTGTGGGGCACGCAACAATAACTCCACTGGCTGTGCTGAAGCAAGCTTATTCATTCCTGGGATCTAACCCCTGTATAATTAGTGCGGTACACAGAGGTGAAATACACTATAGTAACGTGAGATCTGATCAGCCCTGTTTTCACTGTCACTTTAAGAAATTCTACATCCTTCTCATCAAAACCAGGGTCCAATACTGTTATGCCTCTCCTGAATGCCTTTCTCAGCTTTCCCTCACCTCCGCCTTCTTTGCTCTGACAATGGTGGTAGTTATATGACGGGCAGGAGATATTTCTGCAGCATTTGAGGTCGCTGTCCCCTGTTCGAGACACTGTGCCACAGAGGCCCAGAGTGTGGCGCCTTGCGCGCCACACCCCAAAATGGCCTTTGGGGCGCTTGATCACTGCAGAGAACAGACGCCATCAATCAACGATCAATTACTATTGACCAATGGACTGGTTTTAACGGTGTGAGTGTTTGACTGTCAACTTCTACCGCGAGTCTATCGAGGTATAGATGTAGGAGCGGTGGCCTTTCTTCAATGCCAGCAGGACCTCGAATTCGCAGTCGTGGAGATAATCCACCTTCCTGATAATGTCTTGTGCCGTTTGATAGCCTTCGTAGCCTGGCATTTCGCCTCCCTCTTGCAATTGATGTAGGCGGCTCCGGCCCCGGAGAGGCTCCTCCGGAACTGAGAATGTGGGCAGTTCGGAATTTCCGGGTCGGATTTTGGGGGATACTAATGTTCTGTTGGAGTTTCTTTTCTACAGAGGACGATCTTGACAGTATGAAGAAGAACCAAACGCTGGTATTGACACACGCAATGTTGTGCCTCACGACTACCCGACTCCCGGATCAAGGGATACCGGCGCAAACTGCGGGTCCAATGTCGATAATAATATGACCGGCTCCGGCGCAACGAGCCACTTATGCCAACTGTCTTTGCCCATGGACCAGCTCCCCACCGAGATTCTGGCGCTCGTCGCCGACTTCCTGCCTCTGGCGGCCTTGCGAGCGTTCCGACTTGTCAGTCGCCGCCTCGCCGACGTAACGTACCCGGTCCTCGCCCAGCACCTTTCCGTTGTGAGCACAGCAGAATGCTTGGAGGAATTCAGGCTTTTCATCCATAAGAGCCAAGAAGCTTCCATTTTCATTAAAAAATTGACAATTTACCACGGAACCTGGCCGACCTGCCCACGGGACGTCCGGGAGACCCACCCACTGCTATTAGGAGGATGCCATCGGATTGATGTGGGCCGCCAAAGAAGTCATGTTATGGATCAGGCTTATCAGGACTACGAAAACTTCATCCTGCATGAAGGCGCTCGCAAACCGTCCGACTTACTAGCCGTTCTTCAATTGTTACCTAACCTGAGGTCGATTGCCCTCACACGCCTTCGAATTTCACACGCCAAGCAACCCCAGTATTCTCGCTTGAGGAGAAAGATCTGGCTCCAGCCGTACGTGAAAGGCTCCATTAGCCCAACAATGACATGGGTCCTGGGGGCCTTAAACGATTTTCCTCGGGTTACAGAGCTCGAGATCGACGGCAACTTCAACCCGTGCGACATCGAAGGGCCGGTGCGAGCCGAGTTCGTCGAGAGCCTCAAGATTACCGGTATAAAGTGCTCTAGCCGTAGAAAACTGCTTCGATTTCTCCGTTCTTTTAGTCGGCTCCGAAAGCTGTCCCTCGAGATGCACAAATTCGAAGCCAACGCGGCAGTGTTTTTGGATCGGGTTCTTTGGCCAAATCTGGAGGCGGTGGAATGAACCAACAGGCCGGGTTTCAGAGAGATTTAGCCAACACCATGCATAACTTTTGTGCTGCGCGTCTGAGGCATCGCAATGGTTTGGAGGTCTTGGATGTCCGTTCCACGGGAGTCCCTCTGAGGTACGGCCGAGGCTAGGGCCACCCGGGCCCGGCGACCGGCATGCTGTGCACGCATCCCATTTTCCGGGCGTAGCTTCCTCGCGCATCCTGCTTTCCGGATATCGGGCCGGGTTTCTGGACCACCGTCTCTAAAGTTAAAATCCGGTCGATCTCCCCCATCTCCTTTCTCCGACTGCCAGCCCTTAATCACTCCACACGCACGACATGGCGTCTATCAACTTCACTTCTATGAACGGCACCAACGATATCCTTATGTTTGGCGGCTATCACCAAACAATCGTAGCTTTGGAGTCAGATGTACTGCAGAATCCAGTTGACAACCGGAGCCTCCTCCACCCTGAAGAGGTCTCCTACATCCGCAAGACCGCGGCTTACGACGACTCGAGCGCGGCAGTAGCCTGCCAGGAAGCGCTGAATCTCAGACTCGACTATTACTACGGAGTCCGGCATCAGATAAGGTCAATTTTGAGAGTATGGGATGCTGTTCTCGACGAAAAACGTCTCTACGACGCCGGAGGCTGGCTCAGCAGAAGCCGCAGTTTCATGGATTCTTTCCGGCTCTGTTCGTATTTGATCCCGCAGAGAGTCAACATAGGGCTTGTCGGCTCTTATTTGGACATTCCAGCGCTTGATACAAGTCTTGACAATATCCCCGTATCGGTGGGCTGCCGGTCAGCCACGTACCACGCTGAAACGTCAACAGTCGATGGAAGCGAGGAGACGGCAGTAGACCCGGGCGAGTATGACAAGTCAATTCAATATGGCGAGCCTGAAGAGCTTCCCCTCTCCGACGAGGAAGAATACACAGAGGCGCTTGCCCGCTCCCCTACTATCTCGGACGAGGGCTCCGAGGATGTTGACGTTCAACACCGCAGAGTGGAGATCATCTCAATTCCCAGTGACGACAGTGGCAACAGCAGCGACAGCGACAGCGACAGCGAATACAGCAACAGCAGCGACAAGACCGAGGAGCTCCAGTTTCCCCTCGATCTCGAAAATGCCGGCTCCGCAGACAGCGGCCTCGGGAAATCCCAAACATATCGGCAGAGCGACTTAGACGCGGAGTGTAAGCGCTTCTTTGACGGCCTTCCGCGGCAGCCGTACCAAGAGGCAGCTAGCCTTGACGAGAACCTCGCCAAGCGACCTGATAGTAGCATTTCCAAGGGGGGAGCGCTGCAGCCACGAGGAAACCAAAGCGTGCCAAAGCGGAAGTTCTTCGTGATCTCCGACAGCGACTATAAGGATGACCAAGGACCTGCCCGCGGGATCTCAGGCAAGCGGCCGCGGCACTATCCTCGGGCGGTTTAAAGCTGAAAGAAACGAGAGGCAGTTTGCGCGGGATGGAATTTGCAATAACAGAGGAGCTATTTTGGACTTTTGCGTGGGTATCGTTATTTATGTAACGTTCGTGCTTTTCTCTAAATAGTGATGCTGCCCACTAAGTTTGTATGTATCTGAAACCGGGCAGGTAGAGCAAATCGCCACTCTGTGGCAACTGCTGTCCGGGGTTTTGTCTTGTCTTTTTCTAAGCGGACTTATACACATATGCACACATACACAATTTACTCCGCCCGGCGGGCTTAACCAAAAAGAGGCAACTATTACTCATCTACCAGCACAGTTCCTGAAATAGTCAACGGAAACACTCCAGCAGTCTATATAAATACCGACAATCCCTTGGCGCCGACTAGCAGGTTGCCTGAGAGTAGTAGTCGCCTGCATCCGGGATCAGACATACCGAGATTTTTTTTTGAGAGAGCATGCGAGCCAAGATGTCCCGATAAGCGCCTAGAGGGTGCTCGAGTGCCAGTGACCGCGATGAGGGAAACACAGTGTTGGACGGCCATCTAAGTGGGAATTGGACGCAGAGTATCTTAACCTCTAAACTACTAGGGTATGATGTTGAGTTCAGGCAAGGGCAAAGGAAGAGGAACGCAACGGTTGGGTGGTGATCGAGAGGCTAGCTCGGCGGCCTTCAGAGAGTTGCCTAAGCTCACCAAAATGCTCGAATCCCCATACTAAAAGCCATCAAGCTGCACCCACGCCTACATCCCTCAGACTCTTCTAGGTCGCCGAGGTGTTCCCGGCAACGCCGTTTGAGGAATGGGTCGGCGCCGTGTTCGAGCAGCAGCATGACGACCCTATGAGCAGTTCCTCTCCGTTGTCCAGCCTGTCGACGTATCTAGGCAGGTTTATTTTCTCCAAACAGTTTGCGTGAGTTGTGATTAATTGTAAGTCATCGCTGACAAGCTAGATAGGACCCCGTTGACATTGAGGTGTCGGTGGAGAGTGATGATATGACGATTGGTGTGTTTGGGCCTGGGTGGTTGGGGGTGGATGGAGGGACACGGATCATTGACAGGATTGTTGAGGTGCTAAAGAGGATCTAGAGCTTAGAGGTGCGTCAGGGGGCAGTAACTAGTTGCAAAATTATCAAAGGCTGAAAGTGACGAGATTCAGGACTGCGTGTATTCAACCTAAGCTCGGTCGAATGATAAACCCAGAGGTCCCGATTGCTTGTTGCACCCGTGGTATGGCCATTAGCCTTATTCTCAACATTGAACGAATGTGGAGTCGAATAACCCAGAAACAGATGAAACGGTAATTACAAAGTTCCCGAGCTAACTGCAGCGTTCATTCAAAAAGCACCAAGAGATCACCAATGTCGATGGACACGTCTTGGTCGGACTCAGGAGCAGGCTCTTTGTTGCCAATCTCAACCCCGAGAACTTCCCGTCGGACCGTACCGTGCGCCTCAGCCGCATCACCGCTTGCAAATGCGTGGAATCGTCCCTTCTTCTGCCTCTTGCAATTGATAGGGTGCTTCGAAGCGCTTGTACTATGATGTTTTTACTTCGTTTTTGTTTTGGGTTCGAAAGAATGGGATGCTGCCCTGAAGGGCTCATGTCTAACGTT